AGACTACGTGACGTAGAGCACAACTGAAAGTAAGGGGTGAAGGTCTAAGATATAAAGGAAAGCATATGAAATTTATTTTTAGAGTTTCCTATATATTTTCTTAGTTTGTCACCTCTGGTCAAAGTAATCCGAGGATGTTTTCGTAAATAAAGTTTAACTAATCTTCTAAAATGGAAGTGGTCACGATACTAATTTGACTACTAACTTTTTAAATCTTGCAGATCCATTTTGTACAAAGTTTCAGGAACATGTAGAAAATACATGCCATTAAACATACAATTTACAGATATAGTTTCCACGAAAATACCCCAGCAGAAACTTTTTTAAGAAGAGGACATTATACTCCTTAGCTGGGAGCATACGGACCTCACTGTGTAGATTTTCCATCGGAAACATCACGAAATATCCCTTTATAGTTCGGAGTGCAGTGTTCTGGCATTTCTTAAGCTTCCTCGTCTGGTTTCACTGCATCCAGACGATTATATTGGTGCGGTCTATTACGACCCGGCCGATCGATTGCACGCCTAAAATCTTAGGGTTATTGACAGTCGGAATTTTGACGCCATCGACTGCAATATTAATGTCAAGTCTGCACTTCTTCGACCAGTTTGTGAATATGATTGCTGTGGATTTAGTGGAAAATGTTGTTAGGCTCCGTACAGCGATGAAGCGATAAATGTCGGAGAGATAGCCGTTTACTTTATAAAATAAATAATATAACAGAGCAATTCCCGCGACACCCGGTTCTACGTTACCGGAATTGACGCGGATTTATCCGGTCAAGGGATATTTTTCACCGATCTCAGTTTAAGAATAACCTTGCTAGGATAATAGTCTATGCTTGAGTTAGTCGAATAGTTTGTATGACAACTATATCTTATTGTGGTATGATATCGCACAAATGAGCAGCCTCCTAGGTAGAAACAGTCGTGTTCGAAATTTTGCAAATATAAAGACGGACATTGCTAAATCAGCTTAGCACGCTGATCACTTATATAAGTACATAGTATGTATGTATATGTTTCCATCTAGGTGTTACAAACTTCGTGGCAAACTTAATATAAAATTTTCAGGATAAACGCATTGAAGTTGTAGTATAATTCGAATCATGTAAGTCAAGAACGAATCCTAAAGAAAAGTATACACTAAAATTGCAAACATTTGTTTAATATATGCATACATGTGTACATATGTATGTATATAGTTAAAAATATGCACATAATGAACGTGATACCGCGCACTTCACATGTCTAAACCTACTCGAACAGACGTAAAATGTATGCGCAACCGAAGTCAGTTCGGCAAACAAACGAACAAAATAACCAATAAAACAAAAACAAACAAATATTTACTAAACAAAATATTATGGTATGTGGACATCTACAAARGTATGTATGTATGTATATATTTAGTACATTTATACAAATATACTATTTATGTAGTAAGTGAACATCAGACACACAACTTTCATAACAGACCTTGCGACGGTCACCATTGATGATGGCGTCTTGACTTATCAGCTGAATATTCATTGGAAGCGATTGATTGTGCAAGTCCAGAACAATATATATTTATGTATATAGTACGTGTATGTGCACACATAGATGTCTGTTTACTTTCAACCTCTCAAATCTGTTCACAAAAAATTGAATTCGGAATTAATATGAAGGCTATTGGTATAAAGCATTAATGCAAGTATGTACCTTCCAAAAACTCAAAAAGTTAAAACTTTAAAGTAAACCTGTTTAGAAACAATACCGGCAATTCGCACACAGTATAAACACAGTTTATATGTACTGATATTCAAAGTCGTGGAATTGTAAAGTAAATATATGCCGCTTTTATATGAGCGTAAAAGTTGCTGGCATTACTAATTTTTATTTTTTGTACTCTTCATCAATAGAGGCAACGATTAGATTCTGAAACCCTTTGAATCACATGGTGATAAAGAGGAATTTCTTAAAATATTAATCATTGTAATTTACGCATTAGTTGTTAAGTGCGAATTTCCAAATTTTATTTATTGTGCTTAGGAACAAAACATATAAACGATTGCGAATTATAAATGTATATAAAAAAGAAAGTGGCAATGTTTGTTTTCCAGCAAATTTTCGTGACCAATATTGCGTAAGTTACAAAAATCACTCGTCGAACAAACCAAAATTTTATTAAATAAATGTTGTGATCTACATACATATATCTTTTTTTATCATAAATGCAGCCATGATTTGTCAAGTTATGTAATATAKTATAATTTAACAGGCTAAATTTGACAACTATTTAAATGAAATGATTTTAATGTTCGCTTCAATAAACACTGGTTATCGAATGCAACCTTACTGATAATAAGACATAAATAAACAATTGTTATTGTTGTGGTAGGAAAAATTGGTACAAGTGACAGTTTGCGAAGTTAGTATTTATAAAAACCTGACTAAGTTATACACATATACAATGTACCTTTTTGATGTAATTTCAGAATATAAGCTTCACATAATTTAATAGTAATCAGGATCCGTTCGGGTTTTATAGACCCGACTACTGTGGAAACGGTAGTGTTGGTAGTGTATGTTTACATTTATACTAAAAGTAAATATACGCCTTAACTCTTCTCTTAATCGCGAAACTTTTATTGTAGTCACGTTAAACATTTCATAAATAGCTCTTGGACTATTGGCACCGGTTACGTATATTGTCGTTAATAGTATGCACCCGATCTACTGAAAGACAACCAGGGTATATAATTTTCTCCAATTTCAGATATTGTCCATACTATAACCCCGAAATACTTATAATTTTAATCATGCTTTAAACGGACAAAGCCAAAAAGGTGGCCAGATGAAATGGTATTATACTTTAATATTTGTTGTCTTTAAGGTCTTATTTACTTAAATAATCTACTTATCACATTTACACTTATATTTTATATTTGGTATTAGGAAATAAATGCATCGACATTTATGAAATATATAGAACGAAAATCCAGCGAGAGCAATTAACAAAATAATGGATACACACACGCTATATGCATCAACTCACCACGAAAGTAAGCAAGCGGCATAAGAAAATTCACCATTGAACACGAATAGCTGCATCAACACAATAGAGACTTTTGGGTGAAAAAGTTAAAAACGAGGAAAATAAACGAAAAACACGAGAAACGAMCAATAATCTGGTCAAAATACACATTCACCTAAACCATTCATAGACTTTCTTAAATTAAACARGAAAAACGAAACGATGAAACAAACTTGATTATAAAAACAAATTCAAAAAGAACMAAAACAAATTGTATAATATTTACAAATGCCCTTCGAGTATTGAAAACATTAATGAATTAAGCGCAACAAACAAGTACATGTGCGCCTTTTGTCGACAAGGGGGGCGGGTGACCGACGACAATGTTGGTTGATAGATGACATCGTCGGACGAGCTGTTACGGCTGCAGTTGTGACGCGCTAACGTGTTGTACACACACGAGAGTATACGAAAGAAACACCTCAAAACAAAAAAATATGGATTGAGGTGGGCGCATTGTGGTGGGGCGTTTTGCGGCAACTAATGCTGAAGTATCGGGCGGTTCTACAATTTCACATATCAAACACTTCGCACTTCACGCCGTGACTCCATATTAACACCATTACCTCCATCTCACCTCATAACTAACAGATATTCCAAATTTATATATATGTATAGATTCATTTAGGATAAATGGGATTCTATATCCACGACTTATGAAAAATTAACTTAATTGTTTTTTCGTACTCGCAGCTACCGCAATTGATGAAATGAAATCGGCAAAATCCCAATGATCTCCACCGCGATGTCTTTATGTTCTTTGCTATATATTCAATTGCTATATCTTCACGTTTTTCGCGCTGGCCACACTATTTCACTTTTCCATTCCTTTCTTATTCAATTCAGTTTATATATATATTTTAATCGTAATTAATGCTCGCCTGATTTCAATTATATTTGCATTCGTCTTTTTAGCACTTCAACTTGCGTTTACGCATATTTCTGAATGTTTCACACTCGTATACAATTTGATAAAATCATTAGCGACTTTTTCTTTATTTTCTTAGCCCTCACAATTTACAAAGTCACATAAAAAATCGCAGCTTTTACACTCGAGCTGTCGTCGTCTCATCGGTCGCTAAAAATTTRACTTGCCCGATTCCAACTGTTCCGATCGAACGAATACATCGCTTGTGTGTGTGTGTTCCGATATTCGTCATTCGAAAATGGCGGCGCCAAGCGCAGAGTTGCAACCAAGTCATAATGATAATATTAAATAAAATAAAAACAAATAGTTTATACAATGCACATTTGTACTCACTATTATGTTTATAATTAAGTTTCTAGAGTCATTTATATTTATAAATTTTAACAGTATAAATATATACGTAACTTTATTGTAATTACACACATATCATTGTTTTTGTTGGTACTTATCACCAGAGAATGTATACTCTATATCCGTTCTCTGTTATCACAAAATCACAAGCCGTGAGATGTCGCACTAGCCAGTAAGATATTTAGAAACATCAAAATGTTAAGAAAAACACACTTCCAATTGCTATAACCATTTTAATGACTTTTTCTATATTATCCATTCTTTGTCACAAAATCAATTATAAAAGTTTCTCGGACCGGTTACAATAATCTGATATTTTTATAAACGTCCGTCAGGCGACCGGCGTCCTTCTCAATACACTGTTTATTTCCTTTTCGTCAATATTTACGAATATTCGTGTGTATAGAAGAAAATAATGACAATATATAGRACACAATAAACGAACAGAAACAACGCGCTTCTTCAATCTAGGCAAAAAAAATATTTTGTATTTATACTTACAAATTTTGTTCAAAAGGGCCATACAATTCCATTGATTATAAGAGTTGTAACAAATATTAAACTATAGCACATACATAAATAAGATTATATTAAATATTTATTTTGATTATGCAATTTAACTAAGTTTATAGAACCTGCATGTACGAAACACCGACACCTGCGAATGAGAAGCTATAAAATAAACGTCAAAAAAGTTTTGACAGCCGGAGTAATAAATGGGTGAAGTAAATGAAATAATAACCAAGCCGAATTTACTAGTATAAATAAATTAAAATTGTATACAATTATTCTTTGAGGATCAAAAACAAATAGTCCAATGCCTTCTCCATCTCCAGAGTGCACAACTAAAATTTATACGTACCAAAGCCTTTGTCAACGATATAGTGGCAATAAATCGCCAGATCTTCAGCTCACTGTGCATGAATATGGCAAAGATTCTATTGAGTTAGAACTGACCAATTTACAATATGCCTTACAGAGATATCAAAAAATTAAACATATATGTATTAATATTATTATTTATATTGTTTATATCATAATGGTATCCAAAAACGTGACACTCCTAAAAGGGCACATGTTGTGTGATCTCAGTTGCCTCTTGTGGTTACTATATCGGATATTCAACTTAATGTCATTAATTCACACTGGTATTTTTTTTTATATTTAATATGTGAAATGTTTTATTTAATGACGTACTTTTCAGAAAAAGTCATTATTTGCTTGGATCTTGCACTTCAATGCCATACGGTACGATTTTTAAGGCGAACCTCAAATTTATTCATTCCAGCGAGCAATATTTATGATATAGTAATAAATGAAGTTATCGAAGATGTAAGTAAACAAATTAAGATTTTCYTGTAGAACTAATTTATTTTTCTTTTTTAGCTTGATGTGCATTACATACTGATAATTCGAACAAAGGGCAGTCTTTTTCAAAAGAAGCCCATTATTACACTTTTTAATGTAAGTTCTTATGTAAAGTTTTAATTCCATTAATATTTWATTTTTTTATGAAGTCTTTGCAGCCTTCCTTCGAATGTTTGCAGATGACATACAGATGCCTCAATGGAATTTTTCGCAAATCAAATGGGATTAGATAGATATAAGCTATAGCAGATCCWTTCCAATCGCAGTTGTTCTCACGTCTTCCAATAGTGCATCTATCTGAAAAGAAACTGCAATAAATTAAGGATATTTATTATATATATATATCTTGCCTTTGGTGTTAAATCCTCACTTTCACTGAAATCTGGTGGTATTGTTTTTGGATCTGGCATTTTTATGACCTTATCCGCGATATTCATTTCTACATTTACCTGCAATTAGTTTATATCAATATTTGGTCTTTCCTTCACTATGTAACTATTTACAAGATTCTGAAGTTCCGCTTTGCACGTCTGTTTCATGAGTGTGCGGTAAAGTTTCATATTATTGCGGTAAGCGATGGTTTCTTCCTGCAAAGGTCGTAGATGAAATACTTGTTGCAGTCGTTCGTCTAAAAATAAATATTTAATTTTTAACTATAAAAATATATAAACAAAAATTCAATAATTTTACCCATTTAAGTAGAGGTTAACTTTCGTGTATCAATTCGAATAACGCAATCAAATTTGACATTTCTTTTTTCTATGGATATTCGTTTTTCTACAGGGATGGCAAAAGAAAATTAAAAAAGTTGATAATCTGGACAATTACATAATCTTCACACTCCACACTTAACTTTAAATAGAATGACATTCATGCATGAAAGCTCATATCTTAACTTATTGCGCACAATAAATTGTAAATTATAAAAGGGCCAATCAATATTGTAAAAATATTTTTTTATTTTTTTTTTTATTTTATAAAAGCTTACATAATAATACAATTATTATACAAACTTAAGAAAATACGCAGCACTAGCATCATGGGCTATCGGCCATATTGTAAAAATACGAGCTCCATATTGCTCACGCCTGCTATCGAATACAATTTATTGCTAACGATTCCGCAACACATATCAGGCGAATTCTCTTGCTCTTGCAAGATTGCAAAAATCCTATACCAAAATAGATGATGGGCACGAGAGTACCCACGGCAGAATTTAGTGATATATGAAAGGCTGATTCGATCAATTTATTGTAAATGAATATTGTGCAAATCTATTGTGAATTGGCGCACCTTCTACATTCATTCTTAACAAAAAAACTGTAACAAATCTTTATAATTTAAATAGAAATTATAAAAAGTTTATTTAAAATTTACCTTCTTCAACAATTTAACGTCAAAATATGTCTTTATGTAAAATGACAGCTAACACAGGGTTGCAATTATATTTTTGCGTGTCATTCTACGTAAATAAACATGGGTTTCGGACTGACATATTTTACTTGCAAATGTTTTTCTGCTTATGTTTGTTGTTAWKCCGTTGCATTAGGCGGAAAAATCTGCAATTCCTGCATCGGGCAAGTTTTTTGCAAGAGCAAGAGAATACCCCTATTGATTCTAACATGGCGAAGATGGTGTAGCTTTTTAAAGTCGACATTGTGTACATAATTAGTGGTTTTTTTTTAGTTAATGTTTTAAGTGATTGCACATAATAAAATAAATAAAAATCATATTTATAAGTTTTAACCATTTGTATAAAATGGTGACATACTCATGAAAAGGTGAAAATATAAACGGTTAACACGCAATAACTCRCTAATATCATACCATTCCTRTTATATATGCTTGATGATGTTAATTAACAAATCATGCAAATTTTTTATGTTTAGTTGTGCAATTAGAAATTKTATTTTTAAAAATATATTTAATTATACAATTGAGAATTATTTAAAAATAAATTTACATAATTATGATTTAATGTCATACCATTCCCATTATATATGCTTGATGATGTTAATTAACAAATCATGCAAATTTTTTATGTTTAGTTGTGCAATTAGAAATTTCATTTTTAAAAATATATTTAATTATACAATTGAGAATTATTTAAAAATAAATTTACATAATTATGATTTGAGCAAAGTTCTTAAAAAAAAATTGTCACATGTGGCAATAATAATCTCTCGTTATTTTCTGCTTGTTCTTCTTGTCTAAAACGGACGAATGGTTCCTCGTGCCTGTYGTTCGTTCGTGACGGAACGATACCGAAAACGATATTGCTGCAGCAGAAAATTGCTAAAAATTGCTAGAAAATCGCAACGGTAAATCATAAAACTATTGAAAAACTATAATTAAGGTGGCAGAGTGTTATTTGATCATAATTTCAGTGCGGTAAATAAAAGATATAATCGGAAAATTTCGTTTGAAAAGTTTGCCTTTCACGAGAAAAAATTTTCATCACACTTAGCTTATGTGAAATACGTGTGCATGAGTGTGTATAGATAGGGAGCAATGAGTGAGGCGATGTGAGTACGGCTCCGCTGGCTATTCGTTTTCTACTTTGTGACCATTTTTTCTTTTGCTTGTGCTTTGTGTTTTGCTTCCGAGAAGTCTCGAAAAATGTGAATCGTTCGCTCGGTAGGTGCATATGGCTCGTCCGTTCGGCTGGTTGATCATTGTTCGGTTGTCGTGTAAAATGTAAATTGATGTCTTTAATATTTCAAATGTTTTACTTTTGTTAGATAATTTTCATGGAGGATTAAACATTTGAATATGGTAGTATAATTTTGTTTATATATAGTTGTCATCTAGAATATATTTAATTACTTGGGGAAAATTTAGTGACAAGTCGGAAAAAGACCATGGTGMATATTTAAATTTTTTGTAGTTATTTCGCAGTTTAAAAAGTGTCATTGTATTTGACAAGATTAAGCATACTTTTAACTACAACTCTAARAGAAGAAGAGTTCAAAGTTTTTTAGAGCCCTACAATGAGAATTACAACTTAATTATATACATTAGAGTTTGCCAATTTACGGTGTAAACGCCCCTACTTTGTTGTTTGGAAAACGTAATTTTTTTGCTCTTGGTTTGAATTCTGCTTCGAGGAATTTCTTTTAGCGAAAACGAATATTCGCCATTTAGAGGATAGTCGGGAAAAACGGAAAATTTTAAAAGTGCAAGACGCAAGGTAGAATAGTCTATAAAAGAAAATGAGAAAGTGACGAAATGGCGATGATAACTAACGTTGCCACTTAGCAAAAATATAAGTTGGTAGAAGTATTGCATATGACAAGTATTTTGCTTTAAATGCAAATAATGAATTCGAAAATATTATTGTTTGTTTTTTCTATTAGTACCACAAAAATATTTTTCATCTCACAAGTGTATTTGTCCAAAAATTTGTATGTTTAATAATTGTCTTCCGCAAAGTTGTACTTGCAAAGATTTCCTTCCGCTTTGTASCAACTCTTGATGGCAACACTGTAAACACGTTTAGGGCTAGAATAAAAGGAACAAACAACGAATAGAATAAGCCGACCTAAAGTTGCTCTACTATGCTTTTCTTTCTTTTCATTGCACAGCTCTGCAATAGCACACAAAGTACGTATTTCTCATCAGTGTAGTTTTAAAATTTACATTAAGAAAATTTATACATATGTATATACATAATTTAAGTGTATCGTTTCTATATCATTAGAAAATCTTCAATATATAGATCTAAGTGGAACAATAACATCTAAAACGAATCAAAAAGTGTTAAAATTTATAACAGACCAAAGTGAAATATTAATATTCACGCTTATACGCATAGTGTAGTGAAAATATAAAAAAAAGGTGGAAAATGAATAATGATGATAAAAGTAACGACTTAAGTGTGTGTTCTACTGCTATAACAACTACAACGTCGTCACCAACGTCAGTGTCTAATATAAATAATACAACAACAACACCCGCATCGGCAACAACATCAGCAGTTACAGTGGCTTCAACAATTAAAGCTCAAAAGTCTACTGCCAGCAAATTGAAGCAGTCAGCGAACCTGCAATCAATAAAGAAAGCAGTTAACGTTAACAGCAACAACAATAAAAGCAATAACAATAGTCTTAAATTAGCAGCTGTAGCAGCCGCCGCTGTTACATCTGGAACTACTACACCCAACATCTCCTTAAAAAAGTTATCAAGGAATGCAACACAACAAGGTGGAGGAAACAAAAAATTCTTGACCGCTAATCCCGTCAATACTGGTAGTTGTAACGAAAGTATAACTGCAGTTGTCCCAGAAGGAGGCAGCAATAAAACGGCTACCAACAATAATAACAGTAAAATTAATACAACTAAATCACTTATATGCAACAATAATAATTTTTCTGCTTCCGCAGTTCCCGCAGCCGCCGCCGTTAATGGCAATAGCAGTACTAACATCAATATAAAGAACAACAGTAAAATGTCAAAAATTGCAGCCGCCAAAGTTGCAGCATCCAGTGCCAATGCTAACGCAAACGCTATTGCGGCCGATTGCGTTAGTGGTACAACAYCTGATCCAGCGTCAACAATCACAAGTACGGGAGTTGGTACTGATAGCGGTACTGGATCTAGTAATAATACCGTCACCTCTAATCCGTCGTCTATTCCTGCAATAGTCTCGAATGCACCTGCCAATACAACAACGTCCTTTAATCCAGCCGGCGGCAGTAGCAACGGTAAAGCATTAGGATCCTTAAATAAAAAGTCCGCTAACAATGCTTCAACTGTGGCTGTTTCTACAACTGCATCGGCAAAAGCAAAAATTTACCAAATAAAAACAAATCCCCTGTCATTACTAGTGAACACGTCGCAGAATGCCACAGCTCCCACAAAAAGCAATGGYAGCAATGGCGGAAACGGTAGTACCGGCAATAACAATGCTGGACCATCTTCACGTGTCGGAGCAGTAGCAGCTATTAAGCAAAAACTGAAAGCTTCAGCTGCTGATGCTGCTGCAGCTGTTGGTATACCCACCGTCATAGCTGGAAATTCTCGTTCCGCTTCATCGTCAACATCGTCCAATTTGTCGTTGGCCTCGTCTGATACACGTCATAAGCGGCCCAGCGAAAATTCGGATACAGATACGGAACTATCCCGCCAACCACCAGATCTATCCGAATCTGACGAAGAGTCAGTTTCAGAATCGGTAAGTTATTAAGATACATTCACTCAATAATTTTCATTAAATTCATGTTCATTATATTTC